ATTGTATAATGAAAGGAAGCATTTTAGTGGATTTTAAGAAAAAAAGAACCTTTGAAAACCACCCTGCATCTGTTTAAAATTATATTAGAAAGAAGTTAGAAAAGCCCCTCTTTTCAGAAAAAGATATAATCTCTTACTTTAAATCTTGGCAGACTGAACACTCTAGTCAACAGGATAACAGCTATGCATTTAAGCTATCATTTCCCAATTATACATAAATTAATTATTCACTGCCACAGGGAAAAATAAGCCAAATCGTACATCATTCCTACAGCAGCTAATTGGGCATGGAGCGGGCCAGCTCTGGTGGTAAATGGTAAATAAAGCATATAGTTTATCAAATTCTGCATGTAGTTAGACAAGTTAATTTGTTTCCCACTAAAGGATTTTTTAAGAACTAAACCATTTATCTCAACACTAATATGCAAGATTGCCTTTACACATACACCTCCTATTCCATATGTCCCTCACTCAAAATATTTATTAACAAGCATCACTTACAAAATGTGTATGTGTACTTATATATATATGCATACATGTGTGTACACAGACACATAGAAAACCTTACAATTTGAATAAACTTTACAGTGAATACACAGATATTGAAGTCTCAAAGCTTCCAATAATAACATATAAATGCAAAGTTTTCTAAGATACTCATATGGAGTTGCCTCTGTACCAAAGGCTGCTCAATCACATGCCATTTATTTGCAGGTTTCAGGAAAACTAAACACAATTCATTTGCAAGGTCCAGCTGCTTCGTCATGTAAAATTGAAGCCACTGGAAAGTTAGAGAATGGAATCAGCTGCAGAGGGGGTTTTTTTGTTTGATTGTGTTTTGGGTGGGTTTGTTTTTTTTAAAACAAAACAAAACTTTAAGCTGTTCTTAATTTGAGTTTAAAACATGAAGAAATTACTTTCTGCTTTTCTCCTTCACCACAAGCAAAAAAATCCCATACACATCTAAGCAATTCTCAAGCAACCTGTGCTCACTAGTGCAATGCGTTGCTCTCCCCATACTACAACTGCTCCTGAACTACCATCATTCACTCATAGCTCCACAGAAGTCTTGGTAAGAACAGAAGATATTTAGACTTCAGAGCTGGAAAACCGAGTAAACTTACTCTACACAGAATAACACTTAATTTCTTTTTTTCTTAAGGTAGTTAGAAAAACTATGAAAACCATCTTGACAAAACACGGGTGATGTTACACATTGATGCTGAGGTGTAATGACCTAAATGCTCCCTACTTTTTCTGAAGTCCTAATAACACACTTAGATATTCAACCCTTTCCTACTCTCCCCTAGAAACAGAAAAGGGAAAGAAATCCCTTACATGTTTTCCTGGCTGACGCCGCAGGAACTCATCAACCCACAGCAGGATGCAGTGAGAACCAAAACATGGCTCTTTGCAGTTGAGAAGGAAAGTCTTTAGCCAACTGGAAGTGACTGCTGATGGAAACGTTATTATTTTCCTTTTCCAACAAATTAATTGAAGGAAAAGCTTAACTTGATGTTTCATTCTGGTATCTATAGGCAACTGATATTCAGTGATAACTGATAGGCTCACAATTTAGGAGTAAAATTTTTTCTCCTTAATGCAAGTGGCATCACACATTTGGTATTGATAATGCAGATGGATTTGGCTTGAATTCCCAGTTATCTAAGGATCCAAACTCATGATACTGATTATTTTTCAAATCTCGTGTTTTCTAAGACAAACTGGAGTTCGCATTCTCTCATATTCCCTTGCATGTTTGAACCCTTGGAAAATAGCTGTTCGTGTTTCAAAGGGTCTGATTTTCTACTCACAAGGACTAGAATTTTCTCCTTTGTATTTTACTTTTGTCATTCAAAATTATTATCTAATCCACAGTCTAAAATGCTGAGGAATTAGCGCAGATACCACAACATCAAATACCTTTGTGAGAACCGCCCAGCCCACTGTAAATCAGTTCAAGGTCAGCAAGGGCTGCACACACGGCAACCACCTCGCCGTCTGCCATGTGTAACGGGTACCTTGAGGAAGAGATTTCCAAATGCACATCGGCAACTAGCAAACAGGCAACACCTGTGTTCCCAGAAGCATTCATTTCTCTGACAGCAAGCCATGAAATACAACAGTCCACAACCACCAACCACAACCAAGAAACCTGCTCCCCCATCACTGAGCAAGTGCACCACAGTGCTGCTAACTTCAATGCATGACACCTTGTCCTGACATGGAGTACCACTGCAGACAATAATCTACAGATGAAACAGCTTTAAATCTCAGCCCCAGATTATTCCTGTTCTGGGTAACACCATGTGGCTGTAGGCTATGATGAGGAGTAACGCTCAAGGCTCTTGCTGGCAGACACTGCTAGTCACAGATGTGACAAGGAAGGGGAGCAGCAGAATGTCACTTCAGGGTGTAGAGTAAAAGCACACTGGAACAACAATTTACATTTCCGTCTGCAGTTTCTGTGTGTCGCTTCCAAATGAAGCCAGCACTGTCCACAGAAATGTAGGAAGTCCTACCAAAAAAAAAAAAAAAAAAAAGACAACAAAAATCCCAACAAAGGTGCTCTGTGCATAACCCAGACCTACAGGTGACTTAGGGAGATATTTTCAACAGACTCCTAAAAATGTTAGCGGAAAGATCACAATTGAAAATAAAATGGTGACAATATTTCTGTCTAATTGTGCTCTGGCCCGGACTGCTTGGTGAGAAGGGCAGGCTGCGTCAGCCAGGAGGATCACTCCCATCCCCACAGCAGGAACACACCCCACGCTTCTAAGTATTTGCTTCAGAAAATTCCAAACCCAAATTATCTGCCATAGTCCTCTATAGGGCAGGGAGGAGGCATTTCAGCCCCTGTGTGTGAGAAGGTCTGGCACCTTCCTTCTTCCCCTTGCACACTCGAGCAGCCCTTGGTTAAGAGCTAGGACTCACAGTCAAACTTCTCTGTTGTCAGCAAGGACGTCTGGCTGAAATGATGAAATGGAATTTCACATGCTGATTCACAGTAGCTTTGATAGCACAGCATCCAAAAAAAGTAAAGAAACTAACACATGATTACAGTTCTGAGAAAAAAAAAGTCAAATTGTGAAGAAAGCTTTGTCTAATTTTGCCTCTGGTCAAAGACAAAATTATTCATGGCAGAACTCTGTGTTTTTGGGTTTGTTTTTTTGGTTTTTTGACCTGCATATAGCCCATACATGACCCTCCACTTTCAAATGAGCATTTTGGGAAGAAAGAAATAAATCCTTTTTAGAGTCATATTTGGAAACACTGGATCATCCAAAGATTCAGAGGTAAACAGTGCTGGAAGCTGCTGGCCTGGTGTTTTATTCCCCATCCTACCATCTAATGCCATACCTGAGCTGCTCTGCGATTTCTGTAAGCAGGGCAAGACACTGCTCCCACTCAGAAGAGCTCATTTCAACTGGCCAGGTGTGTGTGTGGGGGTGTATCTCTTCCCTGCAAAGCAGAAATTGTACATCACATCCACACACAGCAAAGTTAAAAGAAAATCTCACAGCAATAATTTACCTAAATATTTAAATTAAAACAATTTAAAAGTATTAAAGTTAATTCTCATGGAGATTAATGTAATACTAAATGGAAATAAATTAATATTTTCATTCCTCCAAATGAAATGAACACAGAATCCACACATAAAACAAACCATAGAGTTTGCATTGGAAAGACAGCTTAGAACTCCTGAGCTTTAAATCAAAACTTTTTTTTTTTATTAAAGTATGAATGCATTTATGCTGGAGAATAGTTTACATACATTGTAAAGCAACAAGCATATTTTCAAGAGGCACGGGCCCTCCTCAATATGTCTCCATGCTCAATCTACGTGCTTTAACACTGGATTCACAGATACACTCTTACATAAAAACATATAGACCCACAAAACACAAACACAGAGCTATCCGTTTTAATTAGCTTTTTTAAAGGCTTCTGTAAGGTGCCCTAGTGCCCCTAACATTACCATAATTATTAACGAAATTGTACAAAGGAGCAGCATTACTTGCAAACTTTTGATCTACTCTCGGCCTTAAAAAATTTGAAGTGAAACAAGTTTTTCCTTTTTTTCGAGTTTTATTAAACATTTACATTTAAGAAAGGTACGTCTCTGTATATCTGTGAACAAGGAAAGATATGGGAATCTTAACATGAGCTTCTCAACCAGAACAAACATTTAAACCTGACTCCTTGGAACCATTTCCTTTGATCTTTACAGTAACGCAGCCCTGGCTGTGCGATGAGGCACTACCAGCTCCATCCCACCTTGGCCACTCGACCAGCAATGTGGAGACCGGTAACACGGAGTTGAGGCTCCCACACTCATATCACTTCAGACCTGAGGTTGATGAGAAGTCACAGTTCAAACACTGGCAGATCCAAGTGTCCCTCAACTCTTGCCACTGGACTGTCCTCCTGTGGAGCACAACAGGAAAATGCACAGATAGTGGTGCCGGCTCACTGTACTCCTAGCCATCACGGAGTATTTTTGCCCACTGCTTTTTGGTATCCCGCAGTATATAGTCTGAAACTGCAACTACTGGTGTTGGGTGAAAGACGTGGCAGCAGGTATATTAAGAAAATGGGTACAATTAATAAAATAAAGGATAGCATATGATATAATGTGTATATACAAGCATCTTCTTTCATTTTTTATCTGTGAAATGTGAAATAACTGCAGAATGCCAGGCCATTAGTCTAAAAGGCTATGTATGGCAGTCTTAGCCTATGTATGGTCAAAGGATTTTTGTGATGCATCATGGAGAAAGTTTCTTCGGGAACCATTAGGGCTTTCCAGGCCTACTTGCTCTTGTGCATCAGCCCCCAGCTAGGAATGACAGAGGAGCAACTAATAACATTGCCTGACCAGTCCTACAAAACAAACAGGAATTACTCTACTTCATGGTAGACAACAAAGGGACAGTGATGAGTGGGTGACAGAAAGGGGAGGGAGCTTTTTTCTCACTTTTACAACAGCAGCAGATTTCAATGTAACATGATTACTTTAATGATGCATATCTGTAGGTACTGAATTGCTCTTTTGATTTAAAAAGCTGGTCAGATAAGTGTTTGGCTGTCCTTTCATTCCCCAGTTCAATTGTTGCAAACTATCAGCTCTCATTCCCTAAGCCATTTCTGCCTTTGCTGAACCATGAATGAGTTCAGTCAGCCATCGTCAGATTCAAATTCATGAGACACTTCCTCTGAGGAGCTGTTCCTGTGGATCCGGCCATCACTTTTCATGCTGTGAAAAGTCTTCTTAAAGGCCTCCATCATGGCATGGGCCAGCTTCTTGGCCTCCAGCTTGCTCTCACACTCTACAGCATGGCAGTCCATCTGGTATGACAAGTCATCGTTGATCTCCCGATAGACCCAGGCAAAGATGTTTGGGCTGATGTTGTGGTCAGCAGTGCAGTAGGCTATACGTGCTACCTGAAAGGTATCCATGTGGACTGTCGCCTCACCTTTGAGGTCCAGGTGATGCAGCCAGACTTGGAAAGGGCGAATTTCCAGAAGGGCATTAGCTGGGTAAACATCCTCCCTGGCAAGCGTGTGCTTCTTCCATAATTCAATGACTGGTTTCTCTGTGCAGCCTGACAAAAATTGCATCCCTGTTGTGGAAACCTTACCCAAATATGTAACCTGCAAAGAAGAGTAAAGATACGTGAAACACAAACAGTAGATTTCATTGTTGCTTTCTGTCACTCCAGGGAACTTTCCTTTATCTGGAAAATAAAAGCATCCTCTCCTGCAAACTCCCCAGTGTCCCCATCATCTTCACTACAACAGTTTTCAAACTGCTTTCCAGATACTTGTTTATTCAGATATTGACTTCAGCATTCAAACCTAGATGTTAAAAATACTCAGCTTCTGAGTTTCAAGGGATTTCACTCTCTTCAGTTCCCCTGGAAAGCTCAGCTTTAGAGCCCATGACTGTATCTCTAAGCTTGCGTTAGCAAGCCTAAGTGCCAGTGGAGCATGTCCCAGGTAGCTGAGATGCTAACTACTTTTTCCATTCTACTTTATTAATATTATTTATTTGCATCATATTTCAAACATTACTATTAGGGAGACTGAGACATTCTCAGTTTGGTAACACAAGGCTACAGAGGGTCAGAAAAGCATGATCACAGCAGAGGATTTTAAACTGTTTGAAGATTTTTTTCCAAAATGATCCTGTTTTTCTACCACTTGTGCTGTTTCTATTTAAGTATTAAGCCAGGAATAACTCAAAGCTATTCAAAACTTTATCCCTGAGCAGGGTTGAGATAATTATTACATCAATTTAAGATAATACACTGTTTTAAAAAAATCTAGTAAGAAATCTACCTTGTTTAATGACATAATCTCTGTGCTTTTCTGTCCGGCTCTTTTGAGTAAATATCCTCTTACCCAATCTGCACAGGAAAACACAGGTAACTTTAGTGCCCTTACTATATTTTGTTCACCAAAAATCAAATTAACTCAGAAATCCATATCAAAATTTTGTATTAAGCCCCTATAGAAACATATCCCTAAATCTGTGCAGCTGCTTTCTCCTACTTACAGCTGAATGGAAGATTGTTTTAACTAAGAAAAGAGTTTTTCTCTAGAAAAGACAGATTGACACTACATAAATACAATTATGAAGATTATTCTATTTATTGCTGTTGTCAGAATGGTGCATTTCGGAACAACTATACGCAAGCAAAATTGCTTCTAATTTGTCTCTTGCAGCAGTAACTACTTGAGACAGAATCTCCAGCCTCTTGCTAGATGTTTTAAAACCTCATGCATTTTACTCAAGGCACTTGGAGAAAAAAGTAAACAAATGCAATTTCCAAACTAATTTCTTCAAAATTCTATATTAAGCACACACAGGGTATGAGATATTTTTATTTTGCATATACTTTAAGAAATGCAAAGAAAAAATATGGGATTTCCACATTTAAACACATTTAAAAAATCATACCCATAAGGAATATATCCCATGCAAACTAAGATCTCCACAATAAAAATATTTTGCTGCAAGCTTTGTAGATTTTGTTAAATTGAGAGACCTAAATTAGGCCATAATTAAGGAAAAAGCTTACAAAACATTATTGGAAGTCCTGGTGGCTTAATCATGCCTGCCAAAAAAAAGAAATTTCATAGCACTGACATTTCAGAATGGGAAGCCTTATTCTCTGCCTATAAATATTCATGCTTTGCATTGGGAATACGTTAAATCTTATAAAGCTTTATACTTTTTGGAACAGTGGGAAACACAACAGCTAGAACAGTTAACAAGGGAAGACCTGCCAGTGTTTTGTTTTATTTTATTAGTGATGAGAGTTGAGTTCACTAAAGTACTGTAGAATAACTTAAAAGAAAACCTCAGAGCTCACAGTGCCAACTAAACACAAACAAAGAGCACATACAAGACCAAAGAGGAATGTGTCTGCAACATATTGGGAGGTACTTCAACATACATCCACCTCATATTGCTTTGGAAAAGATCAAGATCAGTGGGCAAATCTGCACATTCAATATACTCTCCGAAGGCTTGTTAGGTACTATTTCTTATTCACAAGCCAGCTAACAAGACTGACACACATTGTAAATTAACTGAGCATTTGGGGTCAGATTCAAAGCCCATTGCAGCAACAAGTCCTTCACTGACTTCAAAGAGATTTGCACAAAGCTTTTAAACCCTAGGGAACAGAGAATTTGCCTCTTGCTCATGCACTTTGTCACTGCACAAATACGGTTTTGAATCCTCAGCCACAGGAGAGATTCTGCAACATTTTTTCCCCCCAGCTGCTGTTCAGAGAAGACCAGTATCACTTGGAGCATGCACAAATAAGCACCTCCTGTTAGTGCAGAGTCCAAATCCACAGAAAATGCAGGGAATTGTTTCATTGTGAGGTTGCCTGCAAGAGGAAGCTGTTAACTTCACAGGCCACAACAGCATGAGGAATGGGAGAAGAGAGGAAAGCAAAGGCAGCTACATCACATTTAGAATGTATTATTACGGGTCTGGCAGGCAGTTAGCACTGCTGAGCTTGGTGCTGCAAATTCACCCACAACATAGCATCAGCTCCTCAGCACAGACAACTCCCGAGTGATGCTCAGGACACCTCTGGCAGCTGAGGAGCAAGACCAGAGCAGGCTGTCACACAGGAACATAAATTGAGTTTAATGTTCTCGCTGTTCCTTCCCTGCCGCTAACCGCAAATCCCCATTGGCTATCAATCCATGCATGGACTGCCTAAGTGTGAAGTTAACAAAAAATATGCGTTTCCTTACAAATAAAGTTATCATCTGAAGAAAAGCAAGAAGAAATTACTCTGAAAGCAGACAAGGCAGAGGTAACTAATAAGAAGGATGGGATGATGGCTTGTTTACCAAAATGGGACTTAATGGTCTGATTTACTGTCCCAGCTCTGTTGCAGTATATCTGCGTAGGAACCTTTGGAAAGTTGCTTCCTGTAACACTACTTTGCATTTCCATTATATAAATCTCATTCTCCTTTGAGGACACATTCATAAATATTTATATGGTGCTTAGACATTACAACAAGGAGTTCACAGGAAAGAGAATGCATGAAACCTCTGGTTTAGAGTCTCTCCTGCACCACGTCTCTCATTGAAACATCAACATCTACTAACGTTGCTGGGTTTTTGTTTCTTTTTTAAACGAATTATCTTATTTTTTCCAGTTTGACATACAAGCACTTCACAAGAGAAGTATTACCAAAGCTCTTAATGAAGACTGTTGTCTAACATTTCATCACTTTTATGGTTGCCTGCTAAACATAGAACAGGGATACAGGGGATGATGAGACACCTCAAATATGTGACACAAAAAAGGGAGCATCCTGTTCAGAATAAAGTTTTCTTCATTATTAAATATCATCTACATGTTATCTATTACATATTAATCCATCTGGAGCTGGCCAATTTAGTAACTTAGATATAAATATTTGCATCATTGCAGGGACAGTACCAGTATGAACTGAAACCAGCAAAAGACAGATTTATAGATCTGTTACAAGGTTATTTCACAAGCAATGCTCCCTGCATTTTGGCTCCTACCTCATTGTCTCAGAACACACCCACCTTTATTTAAATGCCTAAAAATCACTAAGCACACACATCATTAGAGTAAAGCTACTACTATTACAGTATAATCACCTTTCTATCCAATATCCAAGTTTGTCAAACAAAGATCAGAGAACAGATTATTCCTTCCATTATCAGATGGAGAAGAGAATTATTTTGAGGCAAGAATCCCCATTGGTGGTCTTTTCCCTTTAAATTGATGCAGCAGGAAGCATGAAAAAAAATACTTTCATCTTTAATATGGAAAAGAACCAGATGTGAAGGGCACAGAAAGACATTATAGTTGTTGGTGCTGCTGCTGCTGTTGTTGTTGTTATTATTATTATTATTGTGTGTGCATGTGTAAACACGCACTGAAGAAATGCCTGAAGAGAATCAACTGTATGGCCTTACTAACTGGAGCAATCACTGACGACGACTGGCAACCGCCAGAGCTCAGGCCGAAAGCCACGTCTGTGATAACACAGCACTGATCACAGGCAATGTTCAACCAGGACTGAATAATGCTTTTCCTTCCTTTGAAACACTAAACAGAGGCCACTTGGCAGCAAACACCATGAGGATGACCTATTTGTGACTGCATGGCATGTCCTACAGCAAGTGTCATCCTACACAGACCAAGGTATATAGCTGCGGTCTTTCCCCCCTAGCAGAGTAGCCACAGGTTGGTTGTAATATGTAAATTATAATCAGTTACTTGAGTTGGATGCTGTATTTTAAGTGAGAAAATGAATAGCAAAGCCAGCTCAATGCTACTGTGTATTGCTACTTAAGCAATAAAGGCATCTTGTATCATGTAATCTTCTTCCAGGGTAGGAGTATATTTCTTTATGGCTGTTACAGTCCTTTGGTTTGTATGTTCCATCTTTCCCATGGATTTCTAGAAGATACAAGTCACAGCAATTGCTTGTGCATGTTAAAAATTATCCACATTCTTTCCAGCCTTTCTATGACAAACTGGCATTTTCCATCTGATCCTTTGCTCCCTGGCAAGCTACCGTGATCCATAACATAAACATACCTGTGGTTTCAGCAGTCCTGTACTTGCAAACATACAAACCTTTATCAAAAGCCAAGATAGTCTGAAGTGCTCCTTGTTTCACCCTAGAGACTTGCCGACACCCGTGTCAGTATCTAACCAAACTGTCCTCAACAGAAAAATGCTGTGCCTTTGACCTTTTGTAACACCGCTACAGCCACCTGACATGCGAAAATACCTCATGGCAAAGGACATGAAGATAAATTGATGTCATCTTTCATGCACTGTCCTGGACACAGAAAAACATCTGAGTATTTTGACGTTGTTTTCAACTCCTTCAGCCCAGTAACCTATAGTGAAAAGCTTAGGCTCAAGAGCTTACCAACTTTGAAAAGACCAATACAGCAGCTGCCATAGACATTTTCACTTCCAGCAGAGCACGAGTTGTCAGTAGAAGTAAGGACGTTTTACTTTCTGTACTCAATTTTTTTCTGTGTAATTGAGCTCACATCATTTACTTGCAGCTCATATGAGATGAAGAACAGCTTAGCTCCTGCATGTGTCGAGCACAACCCCCTGT